GGGAGTGAGGGGCTGTGTGCAGTCCCGGCCACCGCGCGTTGGAATCACAGCCGCAGCGTGTGCCCGCCGTGTAACCGTGGGGAAGTTGCTCCATCTGAGTGTTAAACGTCTTCCGCACAGATGGGAGTGGTGACAGAGAGTTGTTTCTCCCGGGGCTGCTCAGAGGATTAGGGGGGCTGGTCTCTTTCCTTCTTCCCTCCTTCCAATTGCCCTCCTCCTCCCTAGCTCTCACACCTGCTGCCAGGAAGATACCTGTTAAGCCCCCATCCTTGTTCTCTAGCACATTCTACCTGGTAAATCGTGTTCCCTCTAGTCCCTGGTCTCATTCCCCCCACCTCCTCTTGTGTGGGGGTCAGAGTAGATTTCTCATCCTCGGTTTACCCTCTGGGTTGGGAGGCACAGACTAGTCAAAGCACTTAATATCTCACAGTAGGGCGGGGCGGAGATGCAGCACAAAGGCAAATCTGGGCTCTTGCTGTTTGAGCCCAGCATGGAGACACCTCTGGGACTTGTGTCTGTTCAGTCTTGAGTTGGCACATCCCCTTGTTCCCCAGAGCTGACCCCCGAGGCCAGTACACACCGCGAGGAAATTCTTACCATAGGCATTTTCTTCATCTCTTGCCATCTTCCGTCCTCCCATTTGCCTGAAAGAGCCCCAAAGACAATTTGGTCATTCATTCATTCATTCATTCATCCATCCATCAAATAGGTATAACTACCTACGTGGGTCAGGCAAGGTCCAAAACGCTGGTGGTACCCCAGTGAAAAGGTCAAGGCTCCTGCCTTCCCCTGACATCAGCATATGGGGAAGAACCACCCTGGGAGGACCTGGCTGGCGTTGGCCCGGTACCGGGAGAGCATTTGGTGACTTTTCAGGGACCTCGAATGGAAAAAGCAGAGGGCAGATGATAGCAGGTCCTCTGTATCAGAGAGTGAGCTTTAGATGCTAATGTTTTCCCAGGTGATTCTGTGTCAGTGACATAAGCTGTAGGTTCTGAGTTTTCCCAGGAGATTCCACAGCCAGGGGAGACTTTGGAAAACCCTGAGCATCGGAAAGTTTGCTCAGCGACTTAGGAACCACCTTAGGGCAGTCGGCCTGGGGCAAAAACAAGAAGAGAATTTGCATTTTGTTTGTGGAAATTGGAAAGAAAACATCCCTCCCAAGCTGATCTGAAGAGCCTGTGATCTGCTCTCAGCAAACCGAGTAACTGGGCTTGTGTCATTTGTCCAAGTTTGATCTGTGCGCCTGGGGAGACGGGCCACTGCCCTCCAGCTCCTGATGGTCTTGCCCCAAATCTGAGGCCTCTCCGACTAAGTGATTATACCCAATTCCCACGTGGTTTAATACAGTGAAACACTTCGCGATGACGTTTGTCTGAGCACACGAGAGCCTGGACACAGGCGCGCAGCCCATCCTCCGTCCGCCTCCCCGGCGCCCTGTCCCGCTCGCCCCCTACTCGGTGGGCTGCTCCGCAGAGAGCGGGATTCGGCACCTTTCCTTTCCCACCTGTGTGCTTGCTCCTCTGACCACTGATTCTCTCCCACGTGTCTGAGTCCTGTCTGTGCCTCACCATCCATTTCACGTCTACCTCTTCATGGCGACACCTGCTTACTGTGGGTGACCGTGTTCTGTCCCGTGGGCACCACATGAGGAAAAGCAGAGGCAGGGGCTGCTGGATAACTTGTCTCTGGCCAGAGGACTCAGGTGACAGGTTTGCCTGGTACTCAGTCCAAAGTGTTTTGTGTTTCTGCAGCAACACCCTGCCACCCCCCCCAAAGCCCTCAGTAAAGGTCACCCCACACGCCTTAGGTGAGGAGTGGTCTTGTGCATACAAATCAGCGAACTCCCATAACTGACCCCAGAGCAGAAGTGAAGAAACAGCCAGAAGATTCAGTGCAAAGAACAAGCATGTAGCTAAAGCCGGAAGCCCTTGTCCATGCTGGAAATGAGAGGCTGTGGTATAGAATATTCACGCAACTGCTGGGCCCTTTGGAACCTCCCACAGGGTTTGGATTGGGATTTGGAGCGTTCTTCCAGAGTTTCTGAAAGCTGAAATCCGGGGTTACAAAGCTGTGTAGTCAGTGAAGAATGTAAAACATGGAGACTCCTGTTATCTTAAATGGGATTGTAGATGATTTATCTAGTCCAGTGCTTCTGAACCTGCTATCCTTTGGACATATCTAAGGATCCTTTAAAATATATCTATTTCTTTGACATTTGGATTCACAGATCTGTACTTAAAAAAACAAAACCAAAAAAGGTATGTCTCGCCCCACCCCCCTGAGTGATTCTAATGCCTTTGGTGGGTGCTCTGAGTTTCTGAGCCATTCACCCCGTCCAAGCCCTTCATTTCCAGTGGGGATGAGGGTAGGAAGCGGGCTCGCAGCCCACACAGCCCTGGGCGGCTCGGGCTGGGGGGAGAGACGTGTAAGGGCACGTGTAGGGCAAGGGTTTGAAGACGGTGTTCGTCATGGTCGCTGGCTCCTGCTAGTCCCTGTCGCACACAGGGCTGAGGAGGTGGAGCGTTTGAGGAGGATCCAGCTCATAGACATAATTTTCACTTTGTACCACGGTCTGAGGGTAGACCGGTTTCTTTGTCCTCAGAAATATCTTTCAGCTTTGCTGCATCTGCCCTCGGGGAGTGTCTGCCGGCTTCTCCAGTGTGCTCTGCTCCTGGAGTCCTTCTAGCAAACACCTTTATTACTAGTGGGGGAGTAGGGAAGGAGAAAGGATTTAGTCCCAGATAGGAGTGTGTGCAGGCCACGACTGGAGAAGATGCTTAGCACTTCTTCTGAACTTACTTTGAAAGTCAGAGCATCCTTCCAAGCCTAGAAGTGTGAAGCGCGAAGTTACCTTTCTAGAGCCCGCTCCCCTTCCTCATCCTCAGCGGTAGTAGAAGGCAGGTGCTCGCTCAGTGAGCTCACACAGGCCCCCAAGTCCTCACAGCTCCCACTCCCCAGGCGACCCCCTTGCCCTGTGGGCTCACCTTTCCCGCAGCAGTGGTGACAGGCTCTGAGGGCGGCAGAGAGGCCCCTGGCCTAGTGCTTTCCCTTTGGCTGTGAGCGCAGAAGGATGCCCCTCCCAGCACGGGGAGGAAGTGTCCCAGCCTCTCAGAGCTCAGAGCCCCCGGAGGGAGGGTGTCAATTTAAAGGGACAGGACCGTGGCCAGCCTTTCCGATGGGAAACCCAACCCCTGCTTTGGACTGGGGCCATGTTTTCCAAAGGTCCCTGTAACCCCCATCTTGCCCCCAGTACGGGGCTGTAACCTCAGAGAAGAGCAGTTGAGATTTCTGAGGCCTGTTTCAGTTCCAACCTCTGCCCACTAATCTTACCTCCAGTTGCCTTTTGGGTTTTTTTTTTTTTTTTTAGGTGTTTTCCTATGAAATGGCCTCTTGAGAGTCTCCTTCCCTCGACTGGACATCAGGTTGGACAGGGTCACCAGCATGGTCCTATCTGCCAGTCCTGTCATTCTTAAAGAAAAGGAGGACTTTTCCAGTCATTAAAGATCAGACAGCAGGCAGAGGAAGGAGATTTTTCATACGAGGCGTAGTCTAGCCTCAGTTGCTCTCTCTGACCCAAGTTGCTGTTTCTTCTCTCAGGAGGGTCATGAGAGAGGTGAGTAAATAGCCAGCCGTTGTGTGGAGAGAAGGCTGCAACAGCATATGGTGATATGGGCCCCGGACCTGGCTAGGTCATTAATCCACTCTGTGATCTTGCCTAACTCACTTAAACTTTCTGGAGTTAACTTCATCTGAAGCTAATTGGTTGGGGTCTGATTTTTACCCATTCTTGCTAGCTTCTTCTCTCTAGTGACGAGAGCCAACCCACTACCCTCCACCGGATCCCCCCCCCACACGCAGCTTTGTTGAGATATAATTGAATTGTAACACTGTGTAAGTTTAAAGGGCACAATGTGTTGATTTGATACACTTACATATTGCAAAATGCTTACCGCTGTAGTATTTATTAAATAACACCCGCATCACATCACATCATTGCCATTGCTTTTTTTTTTTTGAGTGACAGCATTTAAGATCAACTATTCTCTTAGCAACTTTTAATGTATGATCCAGTGGTATTAACTCTAACCACTGTGCTGTGCATTAGACCCCCAGAACTTCCTCATCTTATAACTGGAACTTTGTACTCTTTGACCAATGTCTCCCCATTTCCCTTCCTCCAGCCTCTGGTAACCAACGGTCCACTCTCCATTTCTGTGAGTTTGGTTTTTTAAAATTCCATGGAGAAGCGATATCATACAGTATTTGTCGTCCTGTGTCCGACGTATTTCACTTAGGATAATGCCCTCACGTTCCACCCATGTTGTTGCGAGGGACACTATGTCCTTCTTTCTTGTGGATGAATAATTTTATATATATATGATTATAAATAAATTATATTAATATTATATTAAATTATAGATAGATTTTTATCCATTCATCTACAGATGGACACTTTGGTTGTTACCAGGTCTGGCTGTTGTGAATAATGCAGGGAACGTGGGAATCCAGATATCTTTTCAAGACTCTGCTTTCAATTTCTTTGGAGAAATACCCAGTAGTGGGATTGTTGGATTGAGGATTCCGACTCCTATCTTGTGGGCTTCGACCAGCAAAGCCCACGGTGGCAGAAATAATTACTCCAGACTACGGATCAGTCAAGAGAGGTGAGATGGAGCCTGAGGATAGAGTCCCTGAGCCACTCCTAGACTCTCCTGTTTATTAATACAAAGACTTCAGGTAACAAAGTAACATACATCATAGGAATTCACGGAAAGTGCAGAGCAGGGGGTTACAAGGTTCTTGAAGCAAACAAGGCAATTAATCTAAAGCAATTCAAAGGGTAGACTTTACCATTTCTGGAGATGAGTTTCCATAGGTAAGGCAAAGGCAGGCAAGCCTACGAATCCCCCAAATCTGGTGGAGCCTGTTCTAGATGAGCAAAGCATGTCCTGTTGTTTTCAACAAGACAGAAAGCAGGTCTCTGCTGGGCTATGCGGTCCTATAACTTAGTAACCCATGATTGTATTCCCATACTGGATCACATGGTAATTCTAGCTGTAATTTTTGGAGGACCCTCCATACTGTTTCCCACAGTGACTGCACCAATTTACATGCCCACCAACAGTGCACGAGGGTCCCCTTTTCTCCACATCCTCGCCAACACCTGTTGTCTCTTGTATTCTTGATGACAGCCATTCTGACAAGTATGAGGTGAGATCTCATTGTGGTTTTGAGTTGCATTTCCCTGATGATAGTGACACTAAATCTCTTTTCACATACCTATCACCATTTGTGTGTCTTCCTTGGAAAAATGTCTATTTAGTTCCTCTGCCCATTTTTTAACTGAATTTATTATTGGTGTTTTTTTTTTTTTTAAAGAACGTATTTATTGATTTGAGGGAGAGAGAACATGAGCGGAGGAGAGGGGCAGAGGAGAAGCAGACTCCCCACTGACCAGGGAGCCCGATGTGGGGCTCGATCCCAGGACCCCGGGATCATGACCTGAGCTGAAGGTAGAAGCTTAACTGACTGGGCCACCCAGGCGCCCCTTGAATTGCTTGTTTTTTGATGTTGAATGATATGAGTTCTTTATAAATTTTGGATATTAACCCTTTATCACATATATGATTTGCAAACATTTTCTCCCATTCAGTGGATTGCCTTTTCATGTTGTTGATGGTCCATTACTGTGCAAAAGCTTTGACTTTGATGTTATTCCATTTATTTATTTTATCTTTCATTGCCTTTGCTTTGGGGGTCAAATCCAAAAAATTATTGCCAAGGCTGACGTAAAAGAACTTACCCCTGTCACACTGTATGTTTTCAAGCCTCTTAAATTTATTGAGGCTCATATTATGGCCTATTGATCATATTTAGGAAAACATTCCTTGTGTGCATGAAAAGAATGTGTTTTTTACTTTGTTGGGTAGAGTGTTCCAGTGGTAGCCCAGTTGGTTTATAGTCTTGGTCACATCTTCTCTTTCTCTTTTGACCTCTGATTAGTTGCTGTGCCCATTGTTCAAAGTGGGGTATTAAAGCCTACAGCTTATTGTTGAATTGTCTATTTGTCCTTGACTTCTGTTATTTTTGTTTTGTGTGTTTGAGGCCTTGATTGTGAAGTTCACGTATGTTTATAACTATTATATCTTCAAATTCACCGATTCTTGCTTCTACCGGCTCAAATTTATCATTGAGCCCCACCAGTAAATTTTCTCATATCAGTTATTATACTTTTCAACTGCAGAATTTCTATTTTGCTCTAAAAATAATAATTTCTGTATTTTTTTAAAAGATTTTATTTATTTGTCAGAGAGAGAGAGAGATAGAGAGTGTACAAGCAGGGGGAGCGGCAGGCAGAGGGAGAGGAAGAATTAGGCTCCCCACTGAGCAAGGAGCCCGATGAGGGGCTCATCCCAGGACCCTGGGACCATGACCTGAGCCGAAGGCAGATGCTTAACGACTGAGCCCCCCAGGCGCCCCTGAATGAATATTTCTTTATTTGCTATATGACCTTAGGAGAACTCCTAGGGACTTTAATCATTTTTTTAATTGAGTTTCACCGGCTGTGGCTTCTCCACCGGTAAGAAGCCTGCCGGGGTCCTCACGGTGCGTTCTGGAAGTGGAAGGGCGTCAGCCATTTTAGATAGAACCCCGGCTACATTGCTGCTCCCTTCTTCTTCCTTCTTCCTGGGTGGCAGGATTTTGTATAGTTTTTTTGTTGTTCTCTGTTGTAGCTGAAAGCACTCTCGCTGAGTGGGGAGCCAGGTGGCAGGATTACGTGCAGACCTGCTCTCCTGCTAAGTGCAAATACCGCATCCTTGTAGAGGGGAGAGAAACGCGGCCGTCGCCCTCCATTTCCAGTCACTTGCGCTCTTCGAAAGCCTACAAGTGAGTCATGTAAATACAATTTTCAAGTTATATGTCTTCCTGACAAATAATAGTCGAAGACAATGAGGCTGCTCAGCTGTTTCTTAGCTACTTGGGCTTTGCGTTAAAATTTGTTCAAATTTTGAAAGATAGCCACCTCCACGTGCACCTGTACCGATTTAGAGCAGAGCTGATTTTGTTCAGTGCACGTCAGAGTCAAAAGTGCTAACCGCAGTGCTCGCTCTGACCCCGGCCCCAGCGCAGGCTGGAGATTTCCAGGAAATCCCGCAGCTCATCCTCAGGCCAGCACCAGCCTGCGGAGGGGTGGGGAGAGTGTCCCAGGAAGAGACCAGTGCCATCGCCATCCCGGGATTCCTCCCAGGCCCGCCGTCCTCCTCCAGTGCCCTGGGAGCACAGCACTGGGCAGGAATAAAAGGACAGTTGGGGGGCGCCTGGGCGGCTCAGATGGGTGAGCATCTGCCTTCGGCTCAGGTCATGATCTGGGGTCCTGGGATGGAACCCTGAGTCAGGCTCCCTGCTCAGCAGGGAGTCTGCCTCTCTCTCTCTGCCTCTGCCCCTGCTTGTGCTCTCTCTCTCTCTCTCTGTCAAATAAAGAAAGAAAGAAAGAAAGAAAATCTTAAAAAAAAGGACATGGGTTCGTGACCTAATCTTGTGGTCGTGTTTCCACAGCTCAAAGTGGTGAGGAAGACAGACTCGGGGGAGGTGAGGGAGGAAATGGCTGTGGGTGAGATAAGATGTATGTTTTTCTGTACACACGTGAATTTACAATAAATCACCCTGTTGCTCATTTATCGGAAATGTAGGGGATTATGGAAACAACAAGAAAAAGCCATACTGTGGTGTGCTGACAGACACATTACAATCGTTCCTTTATCCCTGTAAAAGTCTTTTTTAAAGATTCATTCATTTATTTGAGAGAGAGAGAACACGGGGGAGGGGGCAGAGCAAGGGAGAGAGAGAGAGAGAGGGAAGCAGACTCCCCACTGAGTGGGGAGCCAGATGCAGGGCTCAATCCCAGGACCCTGAGATCATGACCTGAGCTGAAACCAAGAGTCGGACCCTTAGCCAACTGAGCCAACACGTGCCCCCTTGTCAACGTTTTATTGATCACATTTAGCATGTGCAGTAAAGCACTTAGACGCTCTCTCTTTACAGGAAGATCGGAGTGAAGCAGCAAACGATGTTAAGTTGAAACCAAAAGAAAGGAATGAAGGTAATAGCACCAACTGTGCAAACTTACTTGTAAATCCCAGCAAGTCACTCAGTGCTGTGGGCTGGATCTGGCAGCCGCTGGATTCTTTCCTCGATCCCTGTTCTCCGGAGCAGGGCCTCTTCCACCGTGGAATGCCTAAGAATCCAGGTGCTGCCAAGCAAATGCTGTGGGATTTGGAGGTGTGGGGAGGAAAAGTCTAGGTGGACGAGGAAGGAAGGGAGCTGTGTGTGTGTTGAGAGAAGCCGAAACCTGGTGGGGAAACCTGCCTGTTTTCTTGCTTCTTGCTCCTTTGGCTGTTGGTGCCAGGTGGTAAATAAAGCTGGTATCGGGAACTGTCCGGAACTGTCCGTTACTCTGCGGCCCCAGGGAGTCAAAAGCAGTGGGAGAAGAAGGTGCATCCTCGCACTGCTCCCCCACACCAGACCCCTCAAGCCAGGAGCCTGGGACTGGGTCCCCCTCGTGCTCTCCCTCTGAGGACCACGGTGCCCCGTTCTGCCGTGGAGGTTTTATAACTACAAGCAACCAACATGTGAGAAGATCTGCGGGTCCGCGGGCCCATGCTTCGTGCCAGTGGGAGAGTCCGGGGATTTGTCCTCGCTGGGCGAGGCCCCAGTATTCTCCTATGATACAACTCTGGAGTTGGCCTCCAATTTAGATAATCTAGGACTTCCTCATTCTTCTCCACGTGAGATACTGGGCCTCACGTGGGTTATGGTTTTGTTGGGGTTTTTTTGGTCTCCTCGAAGCCATAGACAACGATAAGGGGAGAATCAGACCCACACGCTTTTCCACTGCCTGCATTTCATATATTAACAGGAGACATTCAGTGCTGATTAAGATAAAATAGTCCTTTTGAGTGTTTTTGGTACTGTGTAAAGAGCATGGGATTGACTCTTGCTGCTGGGACTGGGTATGCATTTACCTTTTAGGCCGAGGGGGCTCATCACCTCCTCCTCAGCTCACCCCACCTGGACAGTCTGCCTGTTCCCCTGAAGAGTTCAGGAGGCTGTACCTGCACTGCCAGGCCTTAAGTTCCTCTCTCTCTCTCTTTTTTTCTTTTTGTTAAGATTTTATTTATTTATTTGAGAGAGAGAGCACAAGCAGGGGGAGGGAGCGGGAGAAGAGAGGGTGAAGCAGACTCCCCTACTGAGCAGAGGGCCTGACGTGGGGCTCCATCCCAGGACCTGAGATCATGACCTGAGCCGAAGGCAGAGGCTTAACCGACTGAGCCACCCAGGCGCCCCTCTATCTCTCTTTAGAAGAAACAAATTTTTAGTTTTTGTTTTGGTGTTACATAAATTGTTGACAACAACTACATTCTCCAGAGGATTTAAATCTAAATTCTCCTGAGAAGGCTTTCTTCTCTCATCGCTGAGACTTCCGTGGTCTATCTGGGCCAGATACCTGGTGGGAAATGAGGAAGAACATAGTCCAGAGAATTCACCCTGCTCGCATGGTGTGATGCAGAGGGGAGATCTTTGGGACAAAACACGGGCAGGGGGAAAGGTGGAGGAGAGGAGAAAGGGGACATAGTCATCTCCTAGCCCTGTTCTTGCAGATTTGCCCCAACCTCGAGCTTGAAACAGCCGAACTTGATTTCTCGTCGCCCCGAGTCCAAAAGCAAGATGGCCGCAGAGCCGCGTTCTCTCTGCAGGCTCTAGGTGACGACCTTGCTTGCTTCTTCCTGGGCTCCGCTGGTTGCTGGCCATCTTGGTGCTCCTTGCTGGCGCACGCGTTGCCAGTCTCTTTCCTCTTGCATTTTATGAGAAGCAGCAAGGAGAAACCAGCAAGGTGTGCACCTTCCACACTTTTCTCGAAAACCTCCTCTGCTGAACATTCCAGTTCATGACTTACACGGCCTACGGTCCACCCTGCAGTGGAACTCAGTGCAGCCGACTTCTCGCCACTTTGTGCCAAGTGCGGTCTTTCCTCCGGTGTCCAGCAACCTGGTCCTCACCTCTGTCTGGGACCTCACCACAAAGTGCCCTTATGTTCATCTTTCCACCAGCATTCTCTTCAGGGAGATCTAGGCCTTTCCTGTCCTGTACCTCAGGATTCTTCCCGCCTCTATCCATTAAGGAATTTCAAAACCACTTCTAGATGTTAGGTAATTTTAGAGCAGCCACCCATTTCTTGGCCCCCAAATCTATAGTAGTTTCCCAGGGCGGCTGTAACAACCGCAAACCGTTGCTTAAAGCAGCAGAAATTCATTGTCTCATGGCAATGGATGCTGGAAGTCCAATATCAGGACGTTCTCAGGGCCGCACGCTCTCTGAAGTCTCTGGGGAAGGATCCTTCTTTGCTTCTTCTTAGCTTCTGGTGGTTCCTGGCCATCCTTGGCGTTCTTTGTCTCCTAGGTACATCACTCCTTTTGTCGCATGGGATTCTTTGTGTATCTGCGTTTGCTTGTTTATTGGTTTTTAGAGAGAGTGTGTGCAGGAGCAGGGGGCAGAGGCAGATATATATATAAAATCTTGAAGCAGACTCCCCACCTAGCACAGAGCCCAACGAGGGGCTCCATCTCACAGCCCCTAAGGTCATGACCTGAGCTCAGATTAAGAGTTGGATGCTTAACCCACAGAGCCACCCAGGCGCCTCTGTGTATCTGTGCTTACATTTCCTTCATTTTGAAACAATTCCAGTCATTGGATTAGGGCTCACCTTAGCAACCTTAACTGAACTTAATGATGTGGCAAAGAGCCTATTCCACAAAAGGTCACATCTCAGGTACCAGGAGTTAAGATGTGAACGTATCTTTGAGGAGGGCACAATTCAACCTGGTGGGTGGTAAGCAAGGGACAGTGCATGCTGTTTGAGGGTAAAATACCCCCCAATCTCTTCCTTTCCAGTCCTAGTTGCAGTTCTCTGTAAACCCATTGGGATAGTTTTCTTATGTCACTGGTTCTGGGGAGACTTCTACTGCCTAGGGCTGAGAGTCCATATTCCTTGGCCTGGTACTCAACAATCATTACAGTCTGTCTCAGCTTTTCTTCCAAAGCCAATCTTCTACTTCTCTCCTTGAGAAGCAATGTAATACAGTAGTTTCAGCGGAGCTCTCTGTACCCAAATTATCAGTCATTGTTCCTGTTCATATCTGTTTTACACGGTCGTAAGGAGTCAAGTGGTAATGATGTAATGGCTGGTGCCTGGAACACAGGAGGCCCTTAAGGGGGCTGGCTGGTCACGATTCCTCTTCTCCAAATTGTTTGCTGTTCTCTGCCTGTGTCCAGTAAAGCTCCACCGCCAAGGCTTTGCTCCTGCTATTTCTCCCTGTCTTTCTTGTTACAGTGCTGTTAAAATAAAACAAAAACAAAATCATGGGGCTCCTGGCCGGCTAAGTCAACTGAGAGGCTGACTCTTGATCTCAGCTTGGGTCTTGATCTTAGGGTCATGTCGTAGGTCTCTACGTTGGGTGTGGAGCCTACTTTAAAAAAACAAAAAAGGCAAAATCACAGACTCTTGTGCAAGTATAAACAAAGATTTTGCTCGCCTCCTTGGTTAATGAGGGAACCGGTAGGATATTATAATTGGTTCAAAGTTCATTTGAGAATCTAGGGTTGACTCTCGAAGAGAATTGTAAAATGTAACTTCTGAGTTACACTTTCTACTAGACAGAAAATTATTTGCATATCTATAAGGCAGAAATATGCAAAATACCTCTCTTTCCTTATAGAGTTGTAAAGTATCTCAGAGCATAGTGAAGGAAGCACAGCATCACACAGAATGAAAGAACACTCAGTAATCTCTCTTACCTATTTCTAAATTGTGGACCATTTTAATGGTGTTGTCTACTTTGTGATCATAAACAGTCTCCAACAATTATTGTTGGTCCCAGAAGATTGGCTGTATTACGCATGGCCTGATGACTTCCATGGATGCAGCAAGAATCTTAACTGGAAAAACCTCCTTGAATTTGCTCAGCCTAACAGTATTAAGCAGCTATTAATTCCAAAGAACAGACTTCTTTTGGAAATTTTCAAAATGCATCTTGAGTCAGACTTTTCAAAGCCTCTCTCATTCTTCTATCCAAGGGTAGGAAACTGAGACCCAAACACTTTCTCCAATAAAATTGGCATGCTGTGCCTATCCATCTCCGTGAATTTTCTTTTTTTTTTTTTTGAGGTCTCCAAAATCTGCCAAGTTTTCTGAACTGCCAGGGAGTGGACTTTATTTCCTGAGAGACAGGGATCCTGGAAGTCAGATGTCATGTTTTCTTGGGAAGGTTTTGTAGGCATTTGCTCCGTATACAACACCAACCATTGCTCCTTAGTAGTGGTCTGGTTGTCCTTGGTTAAATAAAAATCACTCTCAGATATCACACTGTAGGGGTCCCTGGGTGGCTCAGTCAGTTAAGCATCTGACTCTTGATTTCGGCTCAGGTCATGATCTCTGGGGTCTTGAGATTGAGCCCCACAACGGGCTGCACCCTGGATGTGGGGTCTGCTTAGGATTCTCTCTCTCCCCCTCCCTCTGCCCCTCCTCCACTTAAAAAAAAAAACACACTGAACATATGATCTTCATGCAGAATTGGTTTTTCCAATTGTATCTTTGTAAAATGAGAGATTTTTACTGACTCGATACAAATGATTCTATCATCATCAAAGTGAACGAGTCTCAGCAGAAGCATTTGTTTGGGAAATGCTGAGGGTAAGTGAAGATCAGATAACATTTTAAAACGGTTGGGGGGTGAGGCGATTGGGTGGCTGGGTGATGGACATTGGGGAGGGTATGTAGTTTGGTGAGCGCTGTGTATTGTGTAAGACTAAGGAATCACATACCTATATCCCTGAAACAAATAATACATTATATGTTCATAATAATAAAAAAGTAAAAATAAAAATAAATCACTAATTTAATAGGCAAAAAACCCAAAAATAAAAACAAAATAGTCCCTTAATGTTAGTCTTGTGACTAGGTGGATTTTGCCTTGATTTTATTATTTTAATAACTTGATGTTTTCTAAATTCACTTTTTACAATTAAAACGATTTTTCACTCATTTGGTTTGGTATAAAAAAGTTTGAAAAAAAATGGTTGATATCAGTTGACAAATTCATAGTCTACTAAATTGTGGATTAGAGGTAGTTTAAGGAGAAAGAAATCAGGTTTCCTCGTATATCCATACAAGTAGAACATTGAAAATAATGCCATCAATATTCAAAACAAATAACCACAATAAATTTCCTTAATCCATTCATTCAGTCCTATGTAATTAATTCTCACTCTGCTGGATCTTGAGTCAGTCGTCTGATTTCATGAGGGACATATGCTTCCGGAGTAAGGGTCTCAGCAGTCCTGGTTCTGCTCACTGGCCCAGTCTGAGCGTTGACTAAGTGCC